TGTACAGTATAGAGAGCACACACGATCTTTAGTGATTACATAAAAGCAATATGCATCATTAAAATCACCAGGCATGACTCCCAGTGCTGAGGGCATTAGAGTTTATTGAAGTTTAAGAAAATACTTACATTATACATTATATAAATGACATTATATATTAAGTATTGGGATGCCTGCATTTACACGCACATGAACGTTAATAGCTTCCTAGTCCATAGGGTTCAAGATTAATTTGGCCAACCCTTTGCAGCTATAACAGTTTCAACTCTTCTGGGAAGGCTGTCCACAAGGTTTAGGTGTGTATTCACAAGGTTTGGGAATGTTTGACCAGGGTTTTTTTCTCAAAAAATAGGTCCAGGAATCCCCCCCCCTTCTGATTCACTTCTTATCTCCACTTCCTACCCACCTCCAAGTACCATCATTTTGTTCCACCCCCTACCCACCTCCCAATACCTCTCCTTTTAGAGAATACAGAGCCAAGTACCATTTTGTGATGCTAAATAGTTTGTATGGAATTTGTTAATGATAACAAGAAAAGCAGAAAAATAGATCCCTTCAGCCAGCAGCAATAGACACCCCCTTCCCCAGCAAAAATAGATTCCTCCAGCAACATTGGACCCCCAAAACAAAATACCACCCCAGCAACAATAGACCCTCAGCAGCTACAACGGATCTTCCAGCAGCCAGCATTAATAGACTGTCCAGCAACAATAGACAAGACAATAGACCCCTCCCTCAAAAGTAGATCCCTTACAGCAACAAATGACCCAATCAACAATAGAACCCCCCAGCAACAATAGACTTCCCCAGCACCATAGACCACAGATAGACAATAGACCACCACACAAAAATAGATCCCCTTCAGTAACAATAGGTCCCCAAGCAGCCAGCAACAATGGATCCTCAAGCACACCCCAGCACCCCTTGCCATTACATACATTCAGTGCCGGAACTGCTTTCCTCCGCGTTCCCACTGAAAAAAAGCCCTGTTTGACAGAAGTGCATTTGTGAGGTCAAGCACTGATGTCGGATGAGAAGGCCTGGCTCACAGTCTCCACTTGAATTCATCCCGAAGGTGTTCTATCGGGTTGAGGCCAGGACTCTGTGCAGACCAGTCAAGTTCCTCCACCCCAAACTCGCTCATCCATGTCTTTATGGACCTTGCTTTGTGCACAGTCATGTTGTAACAGGAAGGGGGAATCCCCAAACTGTTCCCACAAAGTTAAAAGCATGAAATTGTCCAAAATGTCTTGGTATGCCGACGCCTTAAGAGTTCCCTTCACTGGAACTAAGGGGCCAAGCCCAACCCCTAAAAAACAACCCCACATCATAATCTCCCCTCCCCCAAACTTTACACTTGGCACATTGCAGTTAGGCAAGTACCGTTCTTCTGGCAACTACCAAACCCAGACACCTATCTCGGATTTCAAGACAGAGAAGTGTGATTCATCACTCCAGAGAACATGTCTCCACTGCACTAGAGTCCGTGGAGGTGTGCTTTACACTACTACATCCAACGCTTTGCATTGCACTTGGTGATGTAAGGCTTGGATGCAGCTGCTCTGCAATTGAAACCCATTCCATGAAGCTCTCTATGCACTGTTGTTGTGCTAATCTGAAGGCCACATGAAGTTTGGAGGTCTTTAGCTATTGACTCTGCAGACAGCTGGAGACTTCTGAGCACTGTACACTTTAGCATTTGCTGACTCCGCTCTGTCATTTTACGCGTCCTACCACTTTGTGGCTGTTGTTCCCAGTTGCTTCCACTGTGTTATAATACCACTAACAGTTAACCGTGGAATATTTAGTAGCAAGTTAATTTCACGGATGGACTTATTGCACAGGTGGCAACCTATCACGGTACCACGCTTGAATTCCTGAGAGCAACCCATTCTTTCGCAGGTGTTTGTAGATGCAGTCTGCATGCCTAGGTGCTTGATTTTATACATCTGTGGCCATGGAGGTGATTGGAACACCTGAATTCAATGATTTGGAGGGGTGTCCCAATACTTTTGGCAATATAGTGTATATTGAAGCTATATCCTATAAGAATAACCTATCATTTGTAAGAAATTAAGGAAACAAACAGGATTTTGCTTGCACATAAGGTTCACCTTATTCTCTACACCTTTTGCAAATCAATGCAAGTATATCAAAGAAGTGTATGAAACAGGTATCTAACTTCTGCAGGTCATACATGGGTCAAATTCTGTACAAATTTTCTTTAGAAAATCGAAAATTAAGTGTGTGTGTGTGTTGTAATTGGATGATCCTATGATTCATCTCGAAATTTGACCAACCAAGCCTTCAATTTCACCTTGTTGCTACAGAAAAGACTTTTCATGGCTGGGATTCTTCTTTGCTTTCCAGGGTTTTCAATTATATTTCTCACATGATTCTTCAATCATTGATTAGAAATTTGTTTGTTTTTCAAAATATTTCCAACATGCTCGATCACTCAAATTCGCTGGCAGCACAAAAATCGGTCCCAATGCTGAGGCCCACTAATGATGCAAAATTCATAAGAAAATTTTTAGTTGTGATTTTCGAAAGAAAATTCCTTCTGAATTCGACCCATGCATGGCCTGCATCAGGAATGAGATAATCTTCCAGGGTTCAATTTGCTGAGTGTTTGGAAAACCCCATTTGAAATTGGGCTAAAGCAAGCTGAAAACCCAGTGACGACTTGTGGAAGTTGGAACCCTCTTACTAAATTCTGTACACTGTTATGGTTAATTAGCAATCTTTGTAAAGAGCTACACTGAAAAAAAAACATAAAAACTTTAAATGACAGGCTTGGGGATGCCTTAAAGCTATACGTGGTGTTATTGAACAGTACAATTTTCATGGATAGCCTCAGTAACATAGTACCCTGACAGAGTACACATGGCCATGGAATTGATTTTTTTATTCATTTACTATTAGATTGACTTGCATACAGCAGCACCCTGATCTGATTCATTTCAGTTTGAAAAAACAATTTTTTTCATCAGGTAGTTTTAGCTGCAACACTTGTATTTTCATGATGTAGTAATAGGCCTGCTTTAGTTGGCAAAAAGAAATTGACAAGTGGTTTGCAGAGATTGCCTCTGTTATTGCTGATCTATTTCTATCAAACACTCACTAAAAATTAGGTGAACACGGGTGATACAGCAATGCAAAATCAGTCTGCAGCAGGACAGTTTTATTGAGCAAGACTAGGTTGAAATGTACTAGAGACACAGGGTACAAGCAGATGTCTTTCTATGAGAATTAAGAAACTGCAGATGATACAGCATAATAACATTGGACAGCATTAAGAATGTACTAGGGACAGGTGTGTTGGTATAAAATTGAAAAGGTTGGTTACATGAAGCTACTGGATGTGTACTAGGAGGGGTGAGTACGCACATTAGTGTTTTTTTGGAGGGGAGTAAGGATTTTTGCTGAAAGGTAATATGGGGGAGAGTATTGCTTGTCACTAGAATTTTACTCTCCTGACCTCTCTGTTACACCCCCCTGACTACTGCACTCTTTTAATTTTGTACTTCTGATCACTACTGTGCTTTAACCACTTCAATACGGGACACTTTTACCCCCTTCCTGCCCAGGCCAGTTTTCAGCTTTCAGTGCACTCACATTTTGAATGACAATTGCATGGTCATGCAACGCTGTACCCAAACTAAATTTGTATTGTTTTGTGCACACAACTAGGGCTTTCTTTTTGTGGTGTTTAGTCACCACTGGGGTTTTAATTTGTTGCTAAATTAACAAAAAAAAGACCGAAAAGTTTGAAAAAAAAAAAAAAACCCCACATTTTTCTGTTTCTGTTATAAAAGTTTGCAAATAAATAATTATTCTTCATAAATTTAGGTCAAGATGTATTCTGCTACATTTCTTTGGTGAAAATAACCCAAATCAGTATTTATTATTTAGTCTGTAGAAAAGTTATAGAGTTCATGGGATATATCTAAAAATTGATTTGTCCTGAAGTCCTGACAACCAATCTATTTCTTGAGGCCCAGAAATGTCAGAACAGTACAGATATCCCCCAAATGACCCCTTTTTGCAAAGTAGACAGTCTGAGGTATTTAATAAGAGGAATGGAAAGTTTTTTGAAGTTGTAATTTTTTGTCATAATTTTTTGGATAATGAAGAAATTACAAAAAAAAAATTTCACAATTTTTTTTTCTTTACATACATGTCACCAGTGCAGTACAGCGTCATTATATAACTGGTGTGGTAGTAATCAGGGACACTGACTGTTGACAGTACGCAAAAACAATGTATAATTTTTTTTATGTTTGTATTATTTTTGCATTTTTTATTTATTTATTTTTTTAAGATTTTTTTCATATTACACTTTGACCAAAGTAGTATAATGTTATCATAGTAACATTGTACTACTTTGGGGAAGTGATCAGTATTTTTTTTTACACAATATTATTGCTTATAGCAAAAGAATTTGTTTGCTACAAGCAAACATTTAACTGAATGAAATCGATTCATTGAGGTTTTTTTTTTTGTTGTGATTAGCTGTGATTGGCCATGGCTAATCACATGACACAGATGGGCTGTGATTGTCCCAGTCTGTGCATGTGATCGCTATGACCAATCACAGCTAGTGAGGCAGAATGTCACCAGCACACCGAGGATCAACAGTATGGGTCCAAAAGTTTTAATGAATGATCACATAGTTACAGCAAGGCAACGTTTTGGAGTCTCGCAGGACCCCTTCATCAGGCATGTGACCTGATCATCACATGCCTGATGAAGGGGTCCTGCGAGACTCCGAAACGTTGCCTTGCTGTAATTATGTGATTGTTTATTAAAACTTTTGAACCCATACTGGTGATCCTCGGTGTGCTGGCGACATTTTCCCTAGCTGATTCTGTTCGGTTCCAGCCGACAGTCACTGCAGCACCCATTTATACACACAGTCATTTTTAATGCAGGAATGTGTGTGTTTGGATTGTACACTTGCAATCATAGCTAGTGACACAATTGTATACAATGGATGGCATGGCATGAAAGGAAGCCATCCATTGTTTACCATTGTCATGTGACCTGCTGTGATTGGTCACAGCAGGTCACATGGTACTGGCAATGGGCCGGTACTCAGATCTGTCATCTGTCCGAAGTACACAGCCGGTGAAAGGTCTCACCATAGCGTGGGCATGCACAAGGTACGTCATATGATGCCAAGCCGGATTAACGATAGTCCCGCTCGGCTGTCATTTTCCTATTGGCTGGGTGGGAAAAGGTTAAACACTCCTGTCCCCTGCATTCTGTGTATTAAATATTAGTGACTGCTATACATATTAATGTGTGTTACACACTCTCTACCCTTGACCTTATTGCATTATACACCCTGGACCTTGCAGTATGTGCATTGCACACGCATAACCCCTGAACTCTGCCTTACAGAGTCCTGTACTATATACACTATGTTATACATTACATATTTTTCACCAAAGTGTTCATTGTCTTAACAGTCACCAATTGCTAATCAGTCCGTGACTATTTTACTGTTTTTCTTTAAGGTAGGCTAAGACAAAGTGTTTGCTCTCTGCCAATTTTCAATGTGCACAAAAGCATATGTGAGGCTACGTTCACACTAGCTTTGTCAGCAGGCGTCAGGCAGGCGTTTGGGAAGCGTTTTTAATGCTTTCAAATGCCTATGAAAATTCTTCACATGGCAGCACACAGTGCTGTTCACACTGAAGCGTTAGCTTCGCGTCGTGGCAAAACTGACACCTCATGTTGAGTCAGGAGGAGTTGAAGCCTCCCATTCAAGTCTATGGTGACGCTCCTCAAACTCCTGCCAGGCATTTGCGGGGCGTTTGTGAGGTGTTTGCGGAGCGTTAATACCATTAAACGTCATTATAGGCGTTTGTGGTGTGGTTTTAATGCTTGCCAAATGCCTATCAAATGCCTCAAAAACGGTCATAGGGCATTTGGGGAGCATTTTAGGAGCGTTAAAAATGCTTCCCAAATGCCTTTATAACGCCTGTGAAATGCTATAGGGGTGTTTGGCAAGAGTTAGAAATAAGTCAAGTGTGAACGAGCCCTAATGGAAACATTTTTTAATAATTATGCTGAGGATTATATATCTCTGTGAGACTTGTAGCTCAACAATCAAGGATATTTTTTAGGTACAATGAGGGTCAGGTTTTGTTTAACCTTGCCCCTTAAGCCCCTCCCAATGTTAAGTTTGACCATACCCATTATTCATTGTAGTGTGCACAGTGTGTGGCATTACGGCTCCCCTTGGGGTGCCCAAAGGTGCTCCAGGCATTTTACAATGCCTGGGAAACACCCCTGGGGTGTGCTCTAGAAGCTTTACCTCTGCCTCTTCTTCTCCTGTGCTTCAGTGACAGGAGTGACTGCAGTGTCACTTCTGTCAGAAGGTCAAGTTCTTAATAGCTGCTGGCAGGAGAAGTCTAATCTCTCTTCCCTCCAGTAGCAGCCTGCAGTGGGTAGAAGAGATCTAGCACTGAAAACACATCTTAGTCTTAGTGAAGAACCACTGGGAAGTGAGGGCAGACATCCCTTTTTCCTTTCTCTCCTTGTCATGTGACATATCACCTTACGTAAGATGAGAAGAAGGAGAAGCTGCCTTCACTCCCCTTAAGCACCATGCTGAGAATGATGTGGGCACTGTGAGTAAATAGGGGGTGAAGGGACAACTCAAACCCAAAACCTCCTCCGCAGTACTCCCCTAATAGCCCTTTGGGTTATTCCCTCCATTCTGGCTCATTTACACTTGTGGTAGCTTTCTGAAAAGTAGTCCACAGTGGGTGGCTTTTCATGGGGCAGTTAACAGGTAGTGAGGTGTTATGTTGCCTCCTTACAACCTGTTTTTACCCCTAAAATCCTATTTTGCTGCCCGAGGCACCATTAGCTCCATTCTCTCCTACATCCAGAGTGGGGGATGCATCTTTGGCCTGGGCACTAGATGACCTTGTCCAGGCACTTGGTAGAGGACTAGGAGTACAGCAGCAGCTGTACTATCTAGAGCAACTAGAAGGTAATTATTGTTGCTACTATCCTCTTTAATAAAATGATAATGCCAGAAATTGGGCTTTACTTTGAAACACATTTATTAAATGGAAGGAATTGTACCTGATGTTTAGGAACTGTATTGGTCGTGTTTCTGCAGTTTTTTTTATTTTAGGGAGAGGTTTAAAAGGATTGTTTTTTTCACCTCATAGAATGTGCATTGTTCCTGTGGTGTCGTTTGTTGGTCTGTATGGACAGTCTATAGTAGAGTACACCATTAAATTCCTGTATCAGCAATTTCTTTTGTTCAGAATTGTAAGGCATGTGGTAAGTCACTGCAAAAATGAATGCTTGACTTCTGTCTGTAGTCTTAAAACCAACATGTCCTGTGGAGAAACTATATATCCCACAATCCCTGGGTCTCTCAAGTTTGTACTGGTGTAGATGAAAGTAATTAACAGAACTTACTGTGCTAGAAGAAATGTGTTTGTTTGTCAGGCTGCATGTGACACCCAACAAGTAGTTGCTGGTGAATAGGTACAATCAATAGGTAGGTGGATTAATGGATGGAGATAAAGCAATTGATTAGCTATGACCCTACAAACTGCATCCAGTGGAAATATAAAAACCTTTGAAAGTGTATAATGGCTTTAAGCAGAATCAACTAGAATGAAGAAACTAGAAAGGACCACAAAACAAAAGACATGTACCTGAAAGGTATGTGTAAGTTAAACCCTGGTTCACACTGATGTAGTGCGGAATTAGCAGGGTTTTCAGAATTGCACCCCATTCATGTGAACCGCTGCAGGTGTGTATGTTAAGTTAACAACACCACAAAAGTGGTCCGCAAATTGCAGTGCGATGTGCAGAATCGGATCGCATAGGTGTGAATACCCATGTGATCCAATTCTAGTGCGGACCAAAAAAACGGTCCTGCACCTTTCTGGTGCGGGTGTGGTGTGATTTGAGCTATAAAAATGTATGGCTCCACACACAAATCGCATGTGATTTGCACAGGAATGTGGTGCGGTTCCTGTGCAAATCACATGCGATATACCACACCACATATATGTGAACCCAGGCTAAAAATCTGATTTAACTCCATTTGATAATCAAAGAGATAACTTACTGTGCTACAGAAATGTCAGAATGAGATGACAACGAAGCAAACAACATATGAAATATATGTATATTAAAAAACAAACACACACACTACATTAGGATAGTGTTGACTTGGTAGGTTTAAGCTACTGCTAACAAAACTTTGGTTATAATTTTATATTTTTTTATTTACATGAGGGATAAAGAAAAAAATTATAATATTAATGCTTAAACTAATACAAAATACCTTTTTCAACATGATTTGTTTTGGCAAATTTTGATACACAAGACAAGAAATATTACATTACTCTTTTCAATAAGGGAACAACGACAGGGGGGCTTGTTGAATTTTCTCCTCTGATGAGGCGATACATTTTGTGCTGGAAACTGTCACACTTAACCTTCAATAATTACAAACTTTTAATTAACAAATAATAAAACAGTGTTCTTCTCCACTGCATACCTGAAGACAGGATCGTAAAGTAAAACATTTACCTCATATGCACCATTTGCAATGTTTTGACGATTTTCACTCTTCTGTTATGTATTTGAAGCCTGTTAAATTAAGGTTATTATCTGCAAGTTGTATAGCTCAATAACAATAACATCTAATGCTGAAAGAGGTTAATGTACTTTCTGATATACACTTTCTGCCTGAGGGTCAATGAAATCCAGCACAGGTTATTCCCACACTGAGACTTTGCAAATTAAAAAAAAAACAAAATGAAGAGACTTCCAAAGTTTAGGCTTTTGATTTAAACATTTGCAGGACTTGAAGTTGGAAGTTAAAAGTACACTCTTGACAAAAGGGAAAATGAAGCATTGAATAAAGAAAGGACAGCTTACTTGTGTTCAGTAGTTGTCAGGGGCGGACTGACAACTCATGGGGCCCCCGGGCAATAGGGGATCATGGGGCCCCTGTGTCCTCACCCAAACTCAAACCACACCTAAAAAAGCCTATGAAAAAAAGGTACCAGGGGCATCTCATGGGGCCCCCTACTGACCCCGGGCCCTCAGGCAGTGCCCGAGTTCCCAAATGGTCAGTCCAACCCTGGTAGTTGTTCATCTAGACCCTTTGTTTTTTTCTCAATTTTCCCCTTTCTTTCTGGTGATCTGAGAACCCCTTCTTGTGATATGGGAAAACTGTTCATAAACACTCCCACTGCAGGTTCCTGTAAGTATGGATTTTTGCCTAGCTGCTTCTAGAGCTGAAAGACCAATATAAATGCTTACTATTATTGCGCCTGGAATTTGGGGATTTTGTCACTAATATTCTTAAGACTTATTTCATTTTTTATTCACAAATTGATCATATTAGTAGGGGATTGCATAGTTTTAGTGTAAACCTGAACAAGGATATAATACATCAAACTTTTGGGCTAAGCGAAATGGCAGCGATATGTTGAATCACCTAACAGAAAAAAAACAATTTTAATGTAGAAGCATGAGGGTCCCCACCTACAGCTCTTTAATAAAAAGACAAAAATACGTGTGCAGCTGCTGCTTACATTTTTATTGCGCCAACTTCTTACCAGTGGAAAAGTAGTTCTAAAGCATGTATTCTAGCCTATGACAGGAGATTTTGTGCACCCAGGTTACCCAGTCTATAGCAGTGAGATATGGTGAGTTCTACTTGCCTCCTAGAAACATCAAAAGCTGGAGCCAATGTATTTTAATTTTTTTAAATTTTATTTTAAAGTAGGACTATAGGCAAAACTTTTTTTATTATGGATAGAGAAAGGGGGGAATATAACCACTGTCAGATTTTTATTTTTTATTTTTTGCCATGTGTGTCCCATTGCAGAGATTTCCCCTCATTTCCCGTCCCATAGCCAACTGGGCTGTGTGTCCCTGACAAGGACACAGACTGGAATAAAAACTGACAAGCATTTTAATCCCTCTACATTCTATCCAAAACTAACAAAAAGTTTTGCCTTTAGTTATATGTCAGATTTGTTTTCCTGCCATCTATGTCCCATTGCAGAGATTTCCCCTCATTTCCTGTCCCATTGCCAAACAGGAAGTGAGAGGAAATCCCTGCAAAATAA